TAGAGGCGTTATAGATAAACTAGGATCCCATTTCGAGCATTCTATACAGCGCAAAACATCGTTATGATTTTGTTATAAAAATACAAATATCGGTTTTAGTTGGGTTGACATGAGCAACCTTGATTGAGCCCTCCGAAAGACAAATTTAGTGTCTCCGTAAGGTTACTGCTTAAATAATATTTGAGCAAATATTCTTATATTCCATGGAACTCTATTTTGTGCAGGTAGTTGAAACGACTAACTTCCTAACAACATACATACATATGTAAGATGATATATTTTAGATATATTCTAGAGCTGATGCAACATTTATTGAGATTCATCACTTATAACAATCGACAACAATTTTTGGATCATCATAAGTATTTACCACTAAAATTTTAAATAAAATTTAATCACTCACCTTTCGACAAACATTAGGAATAAAGAAATTTCATCTCCTCCGCCATTCATTACTTAATGGATGATTTATTGATAACACAGCTATTTCGATTAAGTTTAAGGTTTAAGTTTTTTCTATTACATACACACCATTTTTTACACAACCAACCAATATTTTTAAGAAAAGACATATTTAAAATAAATCGACATATTTGTCCATTTAATAATATCGTTTGTTTCATAAAATATTTTTTTCTTAATTTAACACTCCTTTACATATGCAATAGTAGTAGTTTATGTTCATTTATTTACACACTTTAAAGTTTCCCTTTTTGAAAAGCTTTCAACACTGGAAAGTTTTTTTTAATTATGACACTTGTTATTGCTGTTTATTGAATATATAATAGTCTTAGTTGTTGTTTAACGGCTATATATACATACATGCATACTTACATATGTAAGAGTGTATTTACAATGGAAATACACTTATTTAATTAACATTAATGTTATTATTCTCATGTACTAATTGACAAAATATTTTTAAAAAGAACTTTATCTTTTTAATAACAACTTATTTATTATTACACCACTATTTTGCGCGATCGACTTATTGAATACCTTTTTTATATTATTGCACTAAGTAATGTATTATATTCGATTATAAAAAAATCACAATTGCCCTTAAATTATTTACTCACTCACCGCACAAACGAACACAACACGCACTGAAGGAAAAACGAAATTAAACTAAAGTCGAAGGAGTTGATGAAGTGCTTAAAAAGCAGTAATAGAAAACTGGCAGGACTAATGTTCATCAGTGAGAGCATACCATTTTCATAAAACAACAACATGTATGTATTATTGGAAATGGCAGGTTGTTGTTATTTGTAATAATCGATGCGCAATTGTAAGAAGTGTGGAAGTTAGTTAGTTAGTTAGTTAGTTAGTTAGTTAGTTAGTTAGTTAGTTAGTTAGGTAGTTAGTTAGTTAGTTAGTTAGTTAGTTAGTTAGTTAGTTAGTTAGTTAGTTAGTTAGTTAGTTAGTTAGGTAGTTAGGTAGTTAGTTAGTTAGTTAGTTAGTTAGTAGTTAGTTAGTTAGTTAGTTAGTTAGTTAGTTAGTTAGTTAGTTAGTTAGTTAGTTAGTTAGTTAGTTAGTAGTTAGTTAGTTAGTTAGTTAGTTAGTTAGTTAGTTAGTTAGTAGTTAGTTAGTTAGTTAGTTAGTTAGTAGTTAGTTAGTTAGTTAGTTAGTTAGTTAGTTAGTTAGTTAGTAGTTAGTAGTTAGTTAGTTAGTTAGTTAGTTAGTTAGTTAGTTAGTAGTTAGTTAGTTAGTTAGTTAGTTAGTAGTTAGTTAGTTAGTTAGTAGTTAGTTAGTTAGTTAGTTAGTAGTTGTAGTTAGTTAGTTAGTTAGTTAGTGTTAGTAGTTAGTTAGTTAGTTAGTTAGTTAGTTAGTAGTAGTTAGTTAGTTAGTTAGTTAGTAGTTAGTTAGTTAGTTAGTTAGTTAGTTACTCTGTTCATGACTGCGTCAAAGTTTCGTAATGATCGGTATTCATTAGACCCTAGCCTCCATATACAGATAAATATCGACATTTTCACGTCTTATTTATATTTAATATTTATAAATTCATGGATTATTTTATCTCATACTGTATGCGTAAAAACTTATTCATTTTCTTAATTGCCATAAAAGTACCGTTATTCCCATCCACATTCCCTTATCAGAATCACAATAACATTATCAAAAAAATGTACCCCTCTCCATTATATACCCACTCATCAATTACTTAAAAAATAACAACAACAATAAGCAGCTTCCAATAACAACTTGTTGCTTTATGTTAACTTTATGCACTCACTACTAGTGAACACTTGTCCATTCATTTTGCTATTTTTGCTCATTATGCATTTCATCAACTCCTTTGACTTTAGTTCAGTTTCGTTTTTCCTTGAGTACGTGTCATGTCGGTGGCGTAGTAAGTGAATAAATAATTTATTGATTAGAAATGATTTGTGTATAATCGAATATAATATCCTAATTAGTGCAATAACAAAAATAATATTTTAATTAAAACGTGTCGATCGCGTAATAAAAAGTTATTATTACAAAGCTGAAGTTCTTTCTACAATTATTTTGCCAAATACATAAGAATAACGCCATTTATCAAAACTAAATTTTGTGTGCATCTATTGTAAATATGTACATACTATGTATATACAATGTACATAGCTATGTATGTATGTAGTGCCGGTAAACAATCCAACAACAAACAGCAAATTATGTAAATATGGATTAAACTTATTTATTTAATACATAAAAAAACTACGGCAATCCTTGCATATTTAAAAGAAAAACTAATAATATTACAAAAATTAAACAAATAATAATAAAGCATCCCGTTATAATTGTTATTGCTGCATCTTTTGTTCTTTTTTTCTTAACAACAACAGTAACAACATCAACTCAATTGACTTCGTTACAAAATTTGCGTTTTCTTTTTAGTCGTGTTTGTCGTGCTATTGAGTAACTATTATTCGTTCAATGAACAATAATAATAACAACAAGTGTCATAAAAAACTTTCCAGTGTTTAAAACTTTTGGAAAAGCTTAAGAGTACAAAATAAAAAAGCTTTAAATTTATAACCTTCGTTGTAAATGTATTTAAACTACTTTAGCTTATAAGTTTAGTAATTTCCTTTTCTACCAGAATGGTGTTGCCAAACGTTTAAAAATATGTAAACATTTCCGTTTGACATTAGATTCGGTCATTAGTTAATAAAATAAGTGTGTTTGTTGTATTTCCTGATGTAAATAAAAATACTGTTTTTTCAATTGCATATGTAAGGGAGTGTTAAATTAAGACATAATTATAAAATAAAGGATATTATTAAATGGTCATACAAATATGCAAAAGGTCGAAGCGACTATTTTGTACTGATAAAGTCGACTACATTGAAAGAACAAAAAAATCGACATTAATAAATATTCTAAAAGTCCACTTTTTATAAAATTCTCAAAAACGACTTTCACAGAAACAGAAAAGTTGACTTTCTGTTTTAACTATACAGAACTCTAATAATAACTTGATTTATTCGTCTGAATATCGGTCGGTTGTGTGAAATTTAGTGTGTATATAAAAGATAAAAGCTTAAACCACCAAATTAATCGAAATTGTTGTGGAACCAAAATTTCTAATGGAAGGCAGAAGTTGAAATTACATTATTCCTGATGTTTTTCTAAACGTAAGTGATTACTTTTTTCTATAAAATGTATGTGGTAAATATTGACGATGTCACAATTTTTTTTGCCGATCCTTGGAAATTATCAATCTTAAAAATGTGCTAGATCTAGAATAGGCCATCTGTTTTAAAGTACGACTAAATGGGACACTGACGGTAGACCTATTATAGCAGTTTAATTCTTACTAACTAACTAACTAACTAACTAACTAACTAACTAACTAACTAACTAACTAACTAACTAACTAACTAACTAACTAACTAACTAACTAACTAACTAACTAACTAACTAACTAACTAACTAACTAACTAACTAACTAACTAACTAACTAACTAACTAACTAACTAACTAACTAACTAACTAACTAACTAACTAACTAACTAACTAACTAACTAACTAACTAACTAACTAACTAACTAACTAACTAACTATCTAACTAACTAACTAACTAAGTAACCTGGTCTCATCATACGGATGGTCCACTTTCGCTTCATGAAGTGCTAGCAAGAGCTATAGGTACCTATTTTTTAGCCATTTGATTTGGAATACTTTTAAGACTTCCAAGTTCTGTACCGTGTGAAAAATAGAACTTAACAGAGCAGTTCACTACGGCCCTCAGTTGACTTTGTCCTACGGATTTACGGACACATCCAGTCGAAGTAGCACACTTTTTATGCCACCAACTAGATTATTATATAGTTTTAGCTGTTACAACAACAACAAAGACTGTTGGCTTTTGGTCCATATTTTTGGTATATTACATATAAAATGTAAACTTCATGTAGGGTCAGCTTTCAAAAATACTTTAAATCTATTCACAAGTATGTTTACGATCGGTTTATCATAAATATTTTAAATACTACTTAAATATACTAATTAAAACCAACATGTTTTTAATGATATACTTTTATTTAAACATTTTCTTCTTATTTTTCAATTATTTCGAACTTATCTGAAAAAATGGCACTTAAAGTAGTACTGGCGTACATATTTTCTTTATACATATTGTACAAGTTTTTCTCAACGATTTAAAATGTAAATTTTTAACTAAAATTTGTTGCACCCATTAGACTAGTTTTGTATTTTTATCGAAGACAATCAAAAGATTTTAAAAGTCATTGTTTTTATTTTTTAACAATTTATGAGTGATTGCCAATCAATTGCGTGTAGTTAATGATATTTCTAAATAACTATTTTAAATTTGACTACAATTAGGCCAATTAAGTTTTTTTTAGTTTTGCACTAATATTTATTTAGTATATTTAACTACATTTAATATATTGTACATTTGTTTATGTTTTTTGTAAATATTATTAACAGGTGTTTTGTTGTTTGTTAAAAAAATAATAAAACAAACGAACAACAACTAATCTAAAAATCGTGTATTGTTTTCAAGGGAGATTTCAATAGAGTTTAAATTTGTTCAACAAAATTAAACTAGAGTTTTTAAGGATATATTTTTTTTAAAAAACATCCTTTTTGTGTTCTTGTGGTTTTTTGCTTTATTTATGCTACGGTTGGGTTTTATATTGTTAAGATATTTAAATTTGTGTCTTTCTTTATAATTTAGGCAGCTTGTTTTTTATCCTTATTATCGGATAAATAGTTGTAGTTAATAAAACGCACACCCTGTATGGATTGTGCTGTTGAATTAGTTAAATGGCAGGCGAATAGCAGCATATTTCTAGGTTGTACCTTCCAGGCGAAACGCATAAACACAAAGGAGTATAGGGTAAGAGCTGGAAGAGAGAATAAATACATTAGTTTTAAGAAATTTCGAATGATTTTTTTTATTACAACTTAAAATAAATGGCGATTCTAATGACTGGTTTGAGGATGGATGAGTTAGTTTTTAGGCTTTAGACAAATATTGAGCATGATAAAACATTTTTCTACGACACTTTATGGTTTCTTTAAGTATTTTTTTAATTAAATTAAGAATGTCATGTAGTCGACTATTTGCAATCTATAAAAAATCGATTTTTGCGTCATCAATTAATTATTGGACTTCTTTTTTCGACTTTACAAATAGAAGACTTAGACAAAAAATCTATTATTCAAAAGGCAATTTAAAAAGTTGAAATGTCGACTTTTTGCAATTTAAAAAATCCTACTTTTTTCAGTTTACAAAAAGTCGACTTTTTTCAGTTTAAAAAAAGTCGACTTTTTGTAATTTTGAAATGTTGATTTTTCATCTTTTTGCGTTTTATGAAAAGCCAACAAGTCGACTTTTGTCCTTTATGAAAAGTCGACTTTCCGATCTTTTTTTTAATATCGAAATTTTCAATCTTACCAGAATTCCAGCTTTTTTCGACTTTTTTCAACATTTATTTGCCAAAATGATTTTTAAAAAATATATGTTAGGACAAAAAAGTCGACTTTTCTTTCCGACTTTGACCTTTTTTAACAAAACACTCGACTTTTTTTTTTTTAACAAAAAGTCGATTTTTCATATCGATTTTTTCGATGTTTTCCACTTTTATTTGCCAAAATGATTCTTAAAAGATACATAGATGTTAGGACAAAAAAGTCGACTTTTCTCTTTTCTAAGAAACTGTCCTTTTTTGAAAAAACACTCCACTTTTTTTGACAAAAAGTCAATTTATGAAAGTCATAAAACACAATTTTACAGTTGAACTTTGACTTTATGCAATTTATAAAAAGTCGACTTTTCGGCAGTTTTTAATTTTAGAAAAGTTGGTATTTCGACTTTTCAATTTTAATTTGTCGACTTTTTGACCGTTTTCTAATATTGACTTTCTTTACATGTTAACTTTTTTCTGTTCGAAAGTTATAGATCACTATTCTATGGTTGAAACAAAGAGTCGTTTTTTTGCAATTTATGAAGATTTAGCTCTCCGACTTTTTTATTTACGAAAACAATTTTTCGAACTTATTTATACATATAAACTTTTCCACTTTTCCCGACTTTTACTATCAAGTCAACAACAGTCGATTTACCAACATTTTCGGAACAAAATAGGCGACTTCGACTCTTTCGACTAGAAGTCGATTGTTCGAAAGTGGAGTTATAGAATCCTAGGACAAATTTTTAGATCCTGTAAATGTCGATTGTGCAACATATACAATTTAGCTGATTTATCTACTTTGTCTACAAAAAGTTGATTGTTTCGAAAGTCGACTTCTAGAACCCTATATTTTAATGTTTTTAAATCAAAATCAATTAATAACCTAATAAACAAATAGAAAGTCCATATTGTTTATATTAGACAGAAACATTTGTTAAAAATAACAGCCATCTATCATAATCGCGCTATAATTTATTTTTTATTAATTTACTTAAATCACGATAAGGTTTTTATGGTGAGAGAATAAAAAAAAACTAAATGACATGTTTGGAATTTTTTATATATTAATACTCTTATCGCTGCGTGTATATTAAAATAAACTATTTTAAGTGATAGTGAGGAAGAAAAATATGGGATTACCAAATCGTTTTTAGTTATAACATTTTATGGTATTTTTTAACATTTGACAACAAAATGCGTTTTAAAATTATATTTTTTGTTAGACAGTTTTTTCAATCATTTGTGGAAATATATTGCTAAAAATAACTTCTTGCTTAACATTTTTTATTTAGTATTTGAAAATTTGAATCTAAATGAAAATAAATTGTTTTTCTAAAAAAATATGCGACATATTTTAACAAAAGACAATGAACTTTGTGTTAATTATTCATTGATATGTAATATTTTTAAAAATTTATTTCTATTAATTTTCTTAGATATTATGAAAATATTTATAATGAAATCAAACTCAAACTTTTTGCCGATTTAAGTTGTCAAGTTTGTCCTAACAAAGAGAAAAATAGTAGATTTTGTAGATAAAAGTCGGAAAATGTCAAAAATAGGTTAAAATAAGAAAAGAGTCGGAAAAGTATTCCCAAAGAATAATGTCGATATTAAAAAAAGTTCGAAAAGTCGCAAATTTAAAAACTATAATAAGTCGAAAAGTGGTTTTCTCATAAATTTTTAAAAATACGAAAGTCGCCTAATTATAAATTATAAACAGTCGACTTTTTGTTTCCACTTAAAATGTAAGGCTTAAAAAAGTCTATTTATTAAGTCGACAAAAGACGTAGTAAATCTTTTTCATATTCGTTTTGATGTCAGTTTTTTGATTTTTTTTTAAAGGTTGACTTACATTAACCATGTGCGTCTCTAGCAAAAGCAAAAAAGTCGACTTTTCCTTTTTTTTCCTACAAATTAATCGACTTTTTTTGATTTTTAAGTCTTAGATTTTTGACTGATTTTATTATATACGTTTATAACAAGAACTATATCCGTCTGTAGCAAAGGAAAACAGATTTTAATTTTTTATATCTAATTCTTCAACTTTTATTTAAAAAGTAGACATATCGACTTTTTTAAACCAAATACTCGACATTTTTCAACAAAATGTCGATTGTTTGAAAGTTCTATAGTTGAAACAAAAGTCGAGTTTTCCAATTTGGAAATTGTACTTTTTAAATTTGTATGTTTAAAATATGTTTTCAGATTTACAATATAGTGAATGTATAGACCATTTTTCGACAAAAAGTCGATTCATCGAAAGTCGTTATATAGAATACTAGTTATAATTTCAACTTTCCATCATGTCGACTTTCCGCTGTTACTTTAAAAATGTTTCATATTGAATTTTAAAATTTAGTTGTTCTCTGAAATTTCTAAATCCCTTTTATCATAAATTCCCTTGCACTTGGCAACCCTAGCATAATTGCTTAGCAAATATTAATAAACAAAATGCTAGCTGCTGCCGCTAATCATTTAAACTTAAGATGAAACTTTGTTGACAACGTTTACAAATTAAAAAGGCAGACATATAGTAATAAAACTTACCCAATGTCATGCGACCTGAAATAATTTTAGGATCTTTCTTAATATCCGCTAAAGCAGCAATAGGAATACCCCAATTAGCCACTGGACCCCAGAAATGTGTACTAAACATGGATTAAAATTCAAATATTAAAAAACCTGTTACAAAATAAAACTCACACACACTCGTACAAACCTCATTAAATATTCACGGAATTCTTTGCTTTTAAGATTTTCAAAAAATCTTCCAGCCATACTAGCAGCACCCTTTTTAGACATTTTGCAATTTGTTTTACCAGCGAGACTTATTAATAAAGATCTTTAAATTAATAAATCAATGAATTAAATTACTACTAATGTTCAACATAAAGCTTGAATTAAAAAGCAACACGTTTTTTTCTTACTTACAATTATCTATTTAGTTTTATTTGATGTTGTTGTTGCAGCCAAAGCAACAAATACAAGCTGCCAATGATTTATTGACCCCTTCGTTAATAAAGTATTTATTTCCAAGCAAAACTTAACACGTTCTTTGCGATAGAATGGAAAAAACAACAAAATTTACAAAACTTTCCTAAATTTTAAAGAATCAATAATATTGTTTTACCTGCTTTCTGGGGAATTTTTTTAACAAATAGAAAAAGTTATGTAAATATTCTAATTGTGTGCGTTTCTAAAATCAAATTTATCTCACTGCTCCTCTACTGTCACTGTCCGTTGCAAATTTAATGTAAAACAACAATAAGAAAATCGCAAATCACTGCTGCACTTAATAAAATTCGAAAGCAAAATATTTCGAACTGTTCGCACAAATAGTGACAACAAAAAACACACAACCACCTTGAATTGAATTCTACTGCGACTACTGCTACTGTCAAATGAATGGGAAAAAAACTTTGTTGTTTTTGTTTTTATTACGTTTTCATTTTCTATTCTGTTTTGTATTAGAAGAATAAAAGCAAAACGTACATAATAATTGTCATTTTATTAGAAAGTTGCCAGATCAATTGAGTAATTAAAAGATTTTTATTTTTGATTTTATAATAATTATGATGTAGAGCAGGCATGGAAAATTTAAATTTTGAAGTAGTACTAACATTTAATATAAAGAGTACCTTTTTTAGGTTTAAAAGTATGTACAAAACAAATTTTTCTATAGATCAAATACTAGACTATAAACTAGACTACATATTAGACTATACTATAGACTAGACTAGGGATTAGGCTACAGACCAGACTACAGACTAGACAATAGACTAGACTATAGACTAGACTATAGACTAGACTATAGACTAGACTATAGACTAGACTATAGACTAGACTATAGACTAGACTATAGACTAGACTATAGACTAGACTATAGACTAGACTATAGACTAGACTATAGACTAGACTATAGACTAGACTATAGACTAGACTATAGACTAGACTATAGACTAGACTATAGACTAGACTATAGACTAGACTATAGACTAGACTATAGACTAGCTATAGACTAGACTATAGACTAGACTATAGACTAGACTATAGACTAGACTATAGACTAGACTATAGACTAGACTATAGACTAGACTATAGACTAGACTATAGACTAGACTATAGACTAGACTATAGACTAGACTATAGACTAGACTATAGACTAGACTATAGACTAGACTATAGACTAGACTATAGACTAGACTATAGACTAGACTATAGACTAGACTATAGACTAGACTATAGACTAGACTATAGACTAGACTATAGACTAGACTATAGACTAGACTATAGACTAGACTATAGACTAGACTATAGACTAGACTATAGACTAGACTATAGACTAGACTATAGACTAGACTATAGACTAGACTATAGACTAGACTATAGACTAGACTATAGACTAGACTATAGACTAGACTATAGACTAGACTATAGACTAGACTATAGACTAGACTATAGACTAGACTATAGACTAGACTATAGACTAGACTATAGACTAGACTATAGACTAGACTATAGACTAGACTATAGACTAGACTATAGACTAGACTATAGACTAGACTATAGACTAGACTATAGACTAGACTATAGACTAGACTATAGACTAGACTATAGACTAGACTATAGACTAGACTATAGACTAGACTATAGACTAGACTATAGACTAGACTATAGACTAGACTATAGACTAGACTATAGACTAGACTATAGACTAGACTATAGACTAGACTATAGACTAGACTATAGACTAGACTATAGACTAGACTATAGACTAGACTATAGACTAGACTATAGACTAGACTATAGACTAGACTATAGACTAGACTATAGACTAGACTATAGACTAGACTATAGACTAGACTATAGACTAGACTATAGACTAGACTATAGACTAGACTATAGACTAGACTATAGACTAGACTATAGACTAGACTATAGACTAGACTATAGACTAGACTATAGACTAGACTATAGACTAGACTATAGACTAGACTATAGACTAGACTATAGACTAGACTATAGACTAGACTATAGACTAGACTATAGACTAGACTATAGACTAGACTATAGACTAGACTATAGACTAGACTATAGACTAGACTATAGACTAGACTATAGACTAGACTATAGACTAGACTATAGACTAGACTATAGACTAGACTATAGACTAGACTATAGACTAGACTATAGACTAGACTATAGACTAGACTATAGACTAGACTATAGACTAGACTATAGACTAGACTATAGACTAGACTATAGACTAGACTATAGACTAGACTATAGACTAGACTATAGACTAGACTATAGACTAGACTATAGACTAGACTATAGACTAGACTATAGACTAGACTATAGACTAGACTATAGACTAGACTATAGACTAGACTATAGACTAGACTATAGACTAGACTATAGACTAGACTATAGACTAAACTAGACTAGACTACAGACTAGATTATAAACTAGACTAAGGACTACACTATAGACTAGATTATAGAATAGACTAAACTATTGACAGACTAGGCTATACATTCGACTATTACGGATTACATTTGGTCTACTGAGTACTAGTGGTCTAGTTATAAGATCAGAGCTTTGAGAGTTATCTCGAAACCCAAGTTTAACATGGATCCACATATTGAAGCCAAGGTTACACAACACTGGTTAATTGGCCCATGATCGACACAAAGCGATTTTGTACAATACATATGTATATAAAACATGTAGAGTTTCCCGATCTTATGTTAAATAATTTAAGGAAGGCAGTACCTTGTATCCAATTTTTGTAAATTGAAAATATTCGGAAAGTCGACTTTTCATAAATTGAAAAGTGACGAAAAGACGACTTTTTGTTTTAACTGTATGAGGTATAGGAAATAAACAAATTTTCAAATTTGATGTAAATTTAGTTTGAATTTTACAACACTCCCGTACATGTCATGCACTGCATTACCATTTTTTCTAACATCTGGCAGCACTTTTGTTTGGTGTTTATTTACAGAAATGGAATGGTTTAAAACTTTGCTATTGAGTGTTGTTCGAAATTATAGTATACTTTCAGGAGCGAAATTTTAATAAGTTAAATAAAAAGATAAATCAAATAACGTTAAATCGAAAAAATTAAAAACCAATTATTGTCGGGTATTGCTTACCATATGATACCCTACACCTTATATTAGTTAATGTATATTAAATTTGACCTTGGTTCTGTTATATTTAAGCAATTTAAGCAATTTATTGACGAAAAGCTAGAGATTGAGAGCTAGGGGTAAATATGGACCGATCCCGTTGTTGACAGTCAAGTCATTTTCTGAATTGGGCTTTCTATGAGGGTTAAATATGGACCGATGGATTCACTTTTACCAAAAATTTATTTATATTGAATTTCATCGCCACGCTTGTCGTTTTAAGTTATTTGTGGACATTTAAGTCATTTTCGAAAGGAGACTTTGTATGGGGACTAGGGTTGATTATTACGAAATCCGGCAGGAACATCAAGGCTTGTATACAATTTAGTTATGTCGTTTTATATAAAAAAATAAATTCCTATTAGGCGCGTTCAGTTGTATGGTGCCTAGATGAAAATATGGAACCATTTTAATCAGTTTCAATAAGCTTTGACCCTGGTACAACATAAGATCACGATCCAAAATTTCATTCAATTATCTTCGAATTTGGGACCTGTCGTTTGATTACAAGGTTTACATAGACGGAAAGATAAACGACTGATGAAATTATTCTAAGCCGATTGGTACACGCTTTGATGGGTATTAGACCAATATTTTTATGCGTTACAAAAATCAGCACAGGGTATAAATATGTCAAATTTCTGTTTTAATTCTACAAATTTTCTCTTAAATTCTCTCTTTATTGTTTTGCAAACAAAAACCAACAAACAATTAAAAAGCTCTCTGTCTGCTTTTTTACCACACAAAGTCCTTGGTCCATTTGACAGTAGTATTACATTTTGCTGCAGCTTCCATATGATTTAGTTTGAAACTCGTGAGCTAAAGTGAAGGTTGTGTATCAAAAATTGTCTTAAATCTAGAAAAAAGCAAATTGTTCAGGAATTTTTGGGTGTAATAATTTGTTTTAATTTAGTTCTTTTAACTTTATTTATGCTAAAAAAGAGAAGAAAGTGTGTGAAAGAAATGGTTTTTATGGAAATTAAATTAAATAATAAAGAAAATTTGGAAATTCGTTTTTCTAATTTTAACAAATAAAGCAAATAAATTAAACAAAATTTGTGAAAATTTATAAAAAAAAGAAAAATTCTAAAAGTTTACAAAATACCAGAAGAAAAAAATCAGAAAAAAAGTTTAGCATCCACCAACCACCAACGCCCCGTTAAACGTTGTAATTTTCTAGTATCAAACAAAAAAAAAAAAAAAAAAAAACTCCCCTTCCGTCACCTTAAAACTAAAAGAAAAACCGTGTATTATCGAGTCAGTGAGTGTACGTGAGTGTGTGTGTAAGTGAGTGTTTGAAAATTTCCTTTAACAGTGTTTGTTGGTGTGATTCTAGCGAAATCGAACTTTTGTTTGTATGTGTGTGAGCGAATGTGTGTGATTGTGTCGTTTATTTTTTTCCTAAATACACCATTCCAACCCTCTTCTCTAAAGGAAATTGTGGATAAAGTATATAAAAGAAAAACCACATAATATATTTAATACAAAAAAATTAGTGAAAAAATCAAAAAGCTTTTTTAATTTATTTAATTACAAGAAATTTAATTGAATTGTGAATTGTTTGAAAAAAAGGATCTGCACAAAAACAACAATTTCAATTTTTTTTTTCCATTTGTGTGTGAGTGTGTCATTTAATGCTGCTTCTTCTTTTTGTTTTTCATTTACTACCGAATTGGGTGCCGCTCCCAAATTGCGAAACTATCAAAAAGCAACAACGACAAAAACAAATACACCAACAAACTGCCATACATACTCTCAATAAAATACCAAACAGCCAAGTATCCAGCCAGCCTGCCATCCAGTTTCAAGAATCACCATCTCAGTATCAGCATCATCAGTAGACGATGTTGTCTTCGTTGACGTCGTAGCAACCGCAACAGCTGCTGCAGCATTTCTCTACTCTACATGAGTGGCTAATAACTCACACACTCTCTCTGACGCTTTCAGTAACAACTTTGACAGTCACATTAAAATAACGGTTTGGCTTTCGGTTATAATAAGGACTTAAAAAAAAGAGAAAAACCAATTATATCGAAGTTAAAAAAACACCCATTGTTTATTGTTAAAAATCAAGAGTGATAAGAAAAATTAATACACAAAATTATATTTTTATAAAAAAAAACTCTTTAATTTAGAAGATCGAACTTAACGATAGTAATGTGACATTAATTGACATACTTTTAGTGTTCAATGTTTAAGGATGAATTAAGGAAGTCATTTAAATCTTATAAATATTTGACTAAATACTTCGGAGTTCAAGTGAATAATTCTAAAATTGCATTATTCATATTGTTCCAAAGATTTTCTTACAACTTAATTTGATTAATTGTAGAAAATCGTCGATTATATAGCTATACTTCATTCCAGTAAAAAAAGTCCTTAAAAATAACTTCAAAATTTAAACTTCTGTTGAAGTCAATCCGAATCGATGAAAACGATTTCACTCATTTTATCAGAAGCCATTGTCTGCTAAACTAATAGTTGACGATTATGCTTTTCAGCATTTCCATGTTATAATTTTCCCTTTTAATTGCTTCTTTGGAAATATTTTCTTTTTTCATCGTGGGGATGATTACAATCATTCATAGAATGAATACGAGTACATTTCCTAAAATATAAGTTCAGTGTACATTTTCAGCTTTAAAATAGCAAACAAAACACAAATATTTTTCAAATAGCATCGTAGCAAATAATTCAGTCCAAGTAAATTCGGCACACTTTCCTCATAATCCAAAGTTCATGAGCGTTCAGATTTCCAACCTATTTGAAATGTAATCAAAAACACTAATATCGAAACTTTCTCATAGTTGTGTTTGATTAAGTGAAGATTCCCAATTTTGTACTTTTGGTTCAAATTATTGATAATTGAGTGAAACATTCCCGAATGAAATGACTGCGGAGTTGAACAAGTTCATACCCTAATCCTACTTGTCCAAAGAGCTTAAACTGTTAAACGACACTCTAAAGTTTATTGCGACAATTCAGCCCAAATCCAGAACTCCTTATTCAAATTCTACTATTTATTCATGGAAACTTTTTTGAATTTCTAAAGTTCGAGTTATCTAAGTTGAGGTTTCTCACTGATAGGTTAGGTTGATAGGATGAAGAAGATGTATACTCCATTAAATCCGAAGAAATACCCCTAGGCCAATATCAGGCCTGTTGTGTGCTGCTACGCAACATGGAAAATGTTTGTTAGCAAAGGCATTATCATCCAATGTTCAGAAACTCTATTTCCTAGACGTAATTCCTAGGTTAGGTTAGGTTAGGTTGATAGGAGGATGTATACTACATCAAATCCGAAGAAATACACCTAGGCCACTATCGGGCCTGTTGTGCGCTCCAATTCAAGAAAGAAAAAAAAAAAAAAAAAATTGTTCACTGAATGCATTATTTTTCCATGTTCAGAAACTCAGTTTCCTGGACGTAATTCCTAAGAATCTTCCAATCGGTGTTGGTTAAGAATGTTATTTCCGGAATAACATCACTTCCAAGATACTTGGATCTAACTTCGACGAATGCCTGACAATGGCAAAGAAAGTGCTCCAGAGTTTCACTGTCCTCTCCACATGCTCTACATTCGTCTGAATCCGCACGTCCAATTTTGTATAGGTGTGCTCGTAATCCTGTGTGTCCACTCAGAATACGTACCATCATACTAACCTCAGACTTGCTCGTTTTGAGAAGATTTCTCGTCTTGCTCTCATCAGGGTCACCCCATAGAATCTTTGTGGTTCTACCCACCGTTTCATTATTCCAAGAGGCCTTATGGGATTCTCTCATCCATATTTTTAATTCAGCTTTTGTTGCGTCGAATGGTTTTGCGTTTGTCAGGTTAACTACATCGAGCTCCCTTCCCTTTAAAGCTATTACATTCGCCCTTTCGTTGCCGACTACTCCCGAGTGGCCTGGTACCCATATGATATGAACCTTACCTCTGGGAGAGTATTCAGTTAAAGCTTTCTTACAATCCAATACGGTCTTAGATTTAATTCTATCACCTGATATCGCACAAATTGCCTTCTGGCTGTCGGTAAATATATTAAGCCCTGTGGGCGCCATATTTATTCTAATCCAATTTACACATTCCGTTATTGCTCGTACTTCTGCCTGGAAGCTTGTGTTATGATTTGGTAAACGGTGGTATATTTCTGTTTCTGGGTCTTCAATATAGAACCCCAGGCCCACTTTGTCCCTTAATTTAGAGCCATCCGTGTAGCAACGGATTCCTACTGGTATTTGCTCTAATGTTCCGCTTGACCAAGACATTCTATCTGGGATTAGCGTTTCAAAGTTTCCGACATATTCAGTGTCTGGTATGCGATCAGGCACGTCCGGTGAATGTGTATAACCTTCCAATGTGTCCAGTATACATTGATGACGTGTCCTTTAACCGTTTTTGGCCAGTTCGCCTAAAGTAGAGAGCCGTTCGGCTGTAAGCGCCGATTCATATCTTATATATGTTTCAATGGGTGGAATATCTAGCAACGTTTCCAGAGCCTTGGTTGAAGTAGTACACATGGCACCACTTATACCCAAGCAGCATGTACGCTGAACTCCCTGTAGTAGTTTGATATTACACTTTTTGTCCAAAGCAGTCCACCAGATTATTGAAGCATAAGCTAGAATTGGTCTAATTACACTTTTATAAAGCCAATTTGTCATAGTAGGACTAAGACCCCATTTCATGCCTATGGTTCTCCTACATATCGCCCAGCACCGATGTGCCTTGTTGATCCTATCTTCTATGTGGTGTCTCCATTTTAATTTCCGGTCAAGTATTACACCTAAGTACTTAACTTTGTCTGTCACCGGTATCTTCTTGCCCAGGAAGCAAGGTTCAGTATATGTAGAAATTTTTGTCTTTCTTGTGAAAAGACAGATTTCCGTCTTCGCTGGGTTAACATTGAGGCCTCTCGGTTGAGCCCAGCTCAAGGCCGTATTCAGAGCTTCCTCAGCTCTTCTACACAAGTAATTTGGATCCTTTCCCTTTAAAAGTATTACGACATCGTCTGCATAGCAGACAGGTCTAAGTCCTTTCTCGGTTAGGGTCCTTAGGAGGCTATTAATCGTGGTAACCCAGAGTAAAGGTGACAAAATGCCACCCTGTGGTATACCGCGAAATACCTTTTTCCTGATAGTTATATCGTACATCTCGCAGCTTATCCATCTGTTCCTTAGCATGTAGTTGATCCAGTTACGGAGCACCCGGTCAACATAAAACTGGTCTAGGGATTGGATAAGGGTATCAGTGTGCACGTTATTGAAAGCGCCTTCGATGTCAATGCATACCGCCAGTGTATACAGTTTGCTATCGAAAGATTCACCTATGTAGTGGACAACTTCATTTAAAGCGGTTTCCACCGATCGTCCCTTTACATAAGCATGCTGCTTATATTTAAGGTCTTTGTATGGTATGCTGCTTTTAACCATGCTATCGACTATCCGTTCCAAGGTTTTAAGTAGGAAGGACGTAAGACTTATCGGTCGATAGGACTTAGGTGTCGCATAGCTAGGTTTCCCTGGTTTGGGTATAAATATTACCCTTGCATCCTGCCATTTAACTGGGGTATATGCCAATTTTAAGCATGCAGTGAATATTTGTGACAGATGTACGGAAACCAGTCCCGCCTCCATCTGCAAAAGTGCCGGGAAAATTCCATCCGGCCCTGCAGCTTTATAGGGAGCAAAGCTCTTGATTGCCCCTTTAACCATGTCAGTTGTAATAACTATTTCCGTGTTACCCTCCCCTTCCTCCAATATCGGTCCATCTATGTCCATATTCGATATACCGGGTGGGAAATGAGAATCCATTAGGAGTTTCATTGTCTCCTCCATATCCTCAAGCCTCCTGCCCGTCTCAACGATCATAGATTCCGGTTGGACATGAGTTTTGGATAGGAATTTTTTTATCTTCGATACGTCATTTACGCTATCTACCTGTTCACAGAAAAGTTTCCAGGAGTCTCGTTTGACTTTTCGAACGATTTTCTTATATTCACCAAGTTTATTACGATACTCATCCCAGTATACTGCGGTCTTTTTACGCCGTGCCCGGTTAAATAGTTTGCGAAGAGTCTTCCCAAGGTTCCGGATCTCCCCAGTTACCCAGGGTTTTTCCTGGGCAGATCTCCGCTCTCGCAGAGGGCAGCTGTCCTCGAACGATTC